ATCATAGATGGCAAATGATACAACCCACATAACACATAACGCTTTATTGGCCTCACTCGGAGGGGAACGACCCCAAGGTTACACTTTACCAGGTACAAATGAAAGAAAGATGAACCTATCACATGGCGCCATGCTTTACCGGCTCAATATAGAGAGAAACATACCTCCTTTCACACATTACTAGGTGCAAACCGGAAGGAAAAAAAACCTATCACAAGGCGCCACGCTTTATCGGCTCAATACAAAGAGAAACGGACCTCATTTCACACTTTACCGGGCCCAAACCGGAAGGAACGAGGAATCTCTGTCAAGGCTCCACACTTTACCGACCTCATCTCGAGGGAAACAAACCCCCAAATAATAACACAACAATAGCACAACATGCTAAACTACATAATACCATACAAGTCTAATACGTACACATCATCTATTCAATAACAACAATGTCATCCTCTACTGATGATTAAAGACAAAACCTCTAAACTGATAAATAAATACACGACTCATACAATATAAATCCATAATTGATTTCACCTTTTTTAAATTAACTACTTCTCATTTCATTTCATAAAAGAGTTACACACGCCATTTTATTTCCAAAACCAAATCTGTTGTTTCAAAACCATCAACTACATCCATCATTGGCCAAAACTTCATCTTTTTTCCCTAAACCAATCTAATTCATAAAATACAACTACAATACAAAGTTAATCAAAACCACTACTAAATCCACTTAAGTTTCATTTTAATAACTAAACCACTATTTCAATTCTTTAACACATAACTCGGTTATTACACATTTTCACCCCTTTAGGATTAATTAAGTCTATAATGATAAATTATGATTTTTCCCCACTCTCAACATGAACATGCCCAGCTACCTCTCAATTAACCAAAACATCCGCAACTCATCCGCAACTCATCCAATTCTAACTCTTAAAATCCAAAACCCAAACCCCTATCATGCCTTTTGTAAAATTTCTTAACAAACTTGTTTTTAAATGCTATAAAAACTACCACATGTATATCTATAATGAGGTATTGAAAAGGAGCAAAGAAATCCCTACCTCTTGAAGTGAAGAGGAGACAACCCAAAAATTATCGGCGATAAAACAACGATCTGCTCAGATTAAATGGAAGCCCTCGCTAAGCACTATAGTGGTGAAATCAATGGATTAGGGTATATGTGATGGGTTTTAAGAAAGAATTAGAGAGAGAGAGAGAGAGAGAGAGAGAGAGAGAGAGAGTGAAGAAATTAGGTTTAGAAATGTTTTAGAGAGAGAAAGGAGATGAAAAAGTGACAAAAAAACCTTTCTCCCTGATCTGATATACGTAGAGACCGCTCGAGTGACTAAAACATTGCTTAAGCGTCAGACACAAATAAGTGAGACCGTTCGAGTGACCAAAATATGACTTGAGCGCACAATGACCCCCTCCTAGAAGTTTTGCAGAATGTAGAAGACCACTCGAGCGCAGGAAAGACTGTTCGAGCTAACCTAAAGAAAATAGACATGATTTCATTTGAAAAATGAACTACCAACCTGTTCCTAACACTACCAACAACTCCAAGCTCAACAATAACAAGACAATAAAGAGTATAGACAACGATAAAGAGTATCGAATCCTGGTTCCAAGAACATGAAAAGGTTGGGTCTAACCCAAGCCATTATAATTGGTTGTGTAGGGAGGATACTTTAGCTTCTCAATACTATAATTGGGATTCTACTAACATCGACGCTATTAATAATCTTATGATTGATAAGGGTGAATGGCATCTGAACTCCATCAAATCCCATCTTTCTGATGGAGCAATGGATAATGTAATGAAAGTTAAACTTCCCAGGTTTGTTACCTTCCCAGATACTCCTCATTGGAAGGGTTCTACAAGTGGGGAGTTCTCCACTTTTGCTGCTTATAAAAATTATTTCAAACCAAGGAGAAAACCTTTTTGATATGGATTGAGTTTGGAAATTGAAAATCCCCAAAAAGCTCAAAGGTTTCTTGTGGTTGGTTTTCAAAACTGATGACAAATGCTATGAGATTGAAAAGAGGGTTTGCGAGGAATGCCAATTGCCCTAGATGTGATTTCCATGTTGAAAACATTGAGCATCTATTACGTAACTACTCTAGTTCAAGAAACATTTGGACTAATTTGAAGGGTAGGCCCTGGTTTGATATGGAAAGTCAGTACAACTTAAATGATTGGCTTACAAAGAACTTAAGGGTTTCAAAAAGCATGGTCCCAAGCTGGAGTTCAATGTTTGCTATAATAATTTGGCAAATCTAGAAGGAACATAATTTGAAAGTCTTTCATAACATAGACCTATCTTGACAAAATACCTTAGTTCTTATTCATAATTATGTCGATAAGATTAAACAAGCTTTTATCATGTCTTTATCTTCTCATATAAGTGTACCCATTTTAATTAAGTGGTTGCCCCCTCCTACAAGTAAGATAAAATTGAATACCGATGGAAGCACTAGAGGAAGCCTAGGAGAATGTGGATTTGGAGGAGTTTTCAAAGACGAAAAAGGAATTTGGCTATGCAGGTACTTTGGAAGGCTTGACTCTTGCTCAAGCTTGGAAACTGAGATGTGGGGCTTGTAGAAAGGATTAACAATTGTGCTGGAGAAATGATTGCATGAAGTAATCATTGAAATCGATTCCATTCTTGGCTGAAAATATGCTGACTGAAGGGCCATCTTAGAACTGCTTGTTTCACAATCTTATTAAAGATTCAAGGCATCTTATTTGGAGATGCAATTGCACCATTTGCAGCATCATGCGAGAAGACAACAAGTGTATCAACATACTTGCCAAAATGGGTTAGAACCAAACAGATCAGCTTGTGGTCATGGGAAACCTCTTGCTGAAGTCGAAAGTTAGCTAGTGGCTGACATGATTGGAACGGATTATCAGAGGATTTAATCCCCGATTTGCCTTCCTGCTATACGTTGTTTTCCTTTGTTTGTTTGGTCTTTCATTTCCGATGTACCCAAAAAAAAAAGAAAAAGAAAGAGTAAATCCTTGGTGGGTCTTTACACTTGAAAGTTTCAATTCAATTTCTTTAGATTTTGAATTTAAATATATAAAAAAGATACATGAAACTATTGGTTCTTATTATTATTTCATCAAATTTTTCCTTTTTTATAAAATTTTTGATGAAATTGTTAAAAGATGAACAATAAAGCTAACAGAATTTATCATCTAATAAACATGATATTTTTTTCATTGTATTAGCACCATTGAACTTTTATCAAAATATCACGAGAAATTCTATTTCCACACACCAAATTACCTTACTTCACACACTTAATGAATATTTTTTATATTACATTTTTGTCCTAAAATAAAAATATCAAAATACCCTTATCTTTCCAATAGAAACCCTAAGTCATTGTCGTCGTCGCCGCCTCCTCCCAAACTCCTCGCCTCCGGTCATTGACCGTCTATAGCTTCCCTTCTTTCTTGTCACCTCTATTAACCACCACATCTACCGCCAACAGCAATCCAGACACCGTCGTCCTAACCCCAACATTACCATACACCATTGTTACTTCCGCCACTACAATTAAGCCACCCTCTTTCTCAATCTTCTTCTTCCTTCGATGAACTTCTCTAGCCTTTTTCTCTAACTCTCGCTGCTCATCATCATTGGGATCACACTATTCTCAGTTGTGATCGCAATCGGCCGCCCTCAAACAGGCACCCCTCGCATAATCTTCCTTACCCCATCTCATATTGCGCAACCACCGTAACTGCCGTAGCCAACCTCCTCTCTCATTTCTTCTTTTTCTTCTCTTCAAACACTAGATCTGGATTTTCCAGATCTTCCTCTTTGTCAGTAATGGCGGTCAGGACTATTATCGATCGTTAGCAATAGAGATTGGGTTGCAATGGTAGAGGGGGACAATAGCCGAATGTGGTGGTTGGGAACAACCAGAGGTAGTAGAGATTGGTGGTAATGGTGGTGTGAATAAGGAAGAAGATGAGGACATTTTTGGTATAATAAGTTATGTATTGAGTAAAAATGAGATTTCAAATTCATTGATGTTGTGTTTGATTGGGGGATTTGAAAAGGAAAATGGAAAAGGTAGGTGAAATGTGAATAAAATTTACTAAATTTCACATAGTTTCACTCATATTTTTTCTTTCCTTTTCCAAATCTCTCCCCAAATCTCCCAACCAACCACAATTCAAGTGTGTGTGCGCTTTGAGAAATAATGTACATGGAGAAGATTTGATGCGTAAAAATAGAGGGTGTGTTTGGTTTGTGTTTGTAGAGTAGTTTTTGAGATAAAAAGTACGAAAACTTGTTTGGTTTGAAAAATTATTTTGAGGAGAGAGTTTTAAAAAAAATAATTAATTTGATGTGTATGAGAGAAAGAGTGATTTTAGAAAATAGATAACCAAACAAAATTTTGAGATTTTTTTTGAAAAAATTTGTTTGATTAGATTACTCTTGAAAATTTGTTTATAAAGAATTTTTTTCAATTTTTTTTTGAAAAAACAAACCAAACAAGGCCAGAATTTCTCAAATATCACTTTAGTTCTACTTTTACTAAGAATTCTTACTTTAATCTTTTTATTTTTAATTTTCGTCAACCTCATAAATGATAGATAGACAAAAGAGTGATATTGTAATTTAACTTAAAATATAAGGAGTCAATCTTAATGACTATAGATGGACGAAGGCCAACCACGATCTCACTCTCGTCCAACATGATCTCACCCTTTAACAACATAAACCTTAAATTTTTAATTTTGTCAATTTAAATCATAATATTTTTATTAATTTTCAATTTAAACCATTTAATTAGAGTTTAAATTGATAAAATAAAAAAATCAAATTTTATTTTGTTATATTTCTTTTGTAATTTTTTCAATTTCTTTTATATAACCTTTTAACATTTTAATTAAAATAAATTTTTTCCCCCCAAACACGCCCTAAATAAGGATAGCGAAAGGATGTTTTTGAAATTAGAAAACGGTATATTCAGTTGCAGATTGGTCTCAAAATTCAAATTGACAGGGAGAGAGAGAGAGAGAGACTGTGAGTGAGAGAATGGGGCACTCCCTTGAGCATCATCTTCACAACAACCAAGCAGTAGACAATCTGGTGAACTTGTTGACCAAGGCCAACCACGATCTCACTCTCGTCCAACACAAACTCGAAAAGGAGTTCCAACAAATCTACCCTGACAACGTAACCAAACATCCTCCAAGCTCTCTCTCTCTCTCTTAGGGTTTCTTTTTCTTTTCTAATTCTGGTGTTTTTGGATTTTGCAGGCTAATCCGATCAAGCTTGTATCTCGGATAAAGAAATTACAGCAAGATTTGTCATCTTTGAAAGAACAGTGCCGTGTACTCCTCGCTGCCAAACAGGTTTCTCTATTTATTATTGTAGTTTGACCTAAATTCCTTTGGTAAAACATTGCTTTAAAAATTGGGGAAACCCATTTCTATTCATGTAGTTAAATCTCTCATTTTGCCAATGTGGTTCAAGTTATGATTGTAAGAGCATCTCCAAAGCTTACTTTTTTTTTTTTTTCTCGCCAAATTTGATTAAAGATTTTGGTTAAAAGTTTCATCCGATACTAAGTGTTCCAACGCTGAATTTTCCCCAATCCAGTCGGTCATCCATCAGGTTGCCCACCAACTGTCACCTGCGAGATTTGATGAAAGGTTAAATCCTCCTTTGATTTGATAACAAAGTAGGGCTCCCTTCATTTGATACCAATTTGGTGAAACGGTCGGAACACTTTTTTTACTAAATTTTCATCAATTTTAAATTTGATGAAAGATTTGAGACTGGGTTGGAGATGGTCTAACATACCATCATGATCCATTGACGTTGATGTTGCTGGCATCCCACTAAAGTCGGTTTGGTGCAGTTTATGGAAATTTGTGCCAATGTTGTTGGTTTGATGCAAAGCTTGCTTACTGTTTATGAGATAGAAATAACTTAAAAAAATTATATAAAAAAATTTGATTGATGAGAATTGGGAGGAGAGAGGATTTTTGTTAAAGCTTTTTGATTATCTACTTTTAGCAACCAAATAGGCGTCAATATTGATTAGGGATGGACACCGATTGAGTAGGGCCGGGTCGGATTTGGGTTGGCCTTAAGCTAGGAAAAAAACAAAGAAATCTCATGATTAAGCCCAACCTAGCCTGACATTGGGTTTAAAAGTTCTATCCCAAGCCCAGTTCTAAAATTACATTACGGTATCAAGTTCGCCCAATAAACTCACGTATTCAATAAAAAAATAAATTTATAAAATAAAAACAATAATTTTGTAGTTAAGTTGGCATAAATATTTGGGATATGTTTGGTAATGTTTATGTTTGCAGTTTTTTATTTATTTATTTATATTTACAATTGTAAACAAAAACTCGATGGATGTCTATTTTTATTTTCAAAAACTCATAAAATAGTTTATAAAATTTACTAAATTGTTGTAACAACAAAAATTTGATTTAACTTATTTAGAAAGAGATGAAAGAAAAAAAAATCCACTCCTTCCACTTCCCACCCCCCTCTGGCCACCACCCATTGCTTGTCACCACCACCACCACCAACAACCACCACATCTAGCCACCCCCACCTTCGGTCACTGTTGTCTGTGACTTCCTCCGATCACCTTCAACCACCTCCTACTACTAGAATTCACCTTCAACCACCACCTCTTCCGAAAAACCACCTTTGGCCACCCACCTATGTGCGTGATAATCACCTTCAGCCACCAAATTGGTCGATAGATGAAGTTCTGGACACTTGAAATTAGGAAATAGAACATGAATTGAACACAAACAGCTTCTACAATATGATATTAAGGATAGAACCAAGAAACATAGGCGGTGTTTGGCAACAATTTTTGTTGGGTTTTTATTTTTTATTTTTTTCACTAAAAGACAAAGTTTTTGCAAAACCAAAAAAAACAAATCCAAACAAAATATCACATCCAACCCCATAATCATTTCACTTTTTCTCTCACAAACATCACATCCAACCACAAAAAAACCCAATTATCTTCCCAAACACCAAATTTTTTTTCTCCAATAATATCCTACAATTAAAAAAACCTACATAAAAACCCACTTTCCAAACACCCACAAAATATTCTAGCACAACATTGCAATTAGAACCAATATTAGGGCCAAGTGATGATTCTTCTCCAAATGCAAGGGAAAATACTTGAATCTGGTAGCCTTCTAGATCTGGCCAACAAGGATAAAAGTGGCTTAGATGCTACTTGCTAACCTCTTTGTCAATACAATACCCGATGAAGTATGCGCAATATGGTCTAATCCTTGAACTCCTGCCTCTAATTCTTCAATACTTTAGCTTGTAAAAGAACTCTCTTAGCTCAAATATATATTTTTTTCTCTACAAAGTGGCTCCTTTTATACAAAGTCAAGGGGCTTACTCAAGAAGGCAACTCAAAACTTGCACATAAACTCCCCAAAAGAATCTCTAACAATCTAAAACATTACAGATATAACAAAAACATCGGATAAACTCTTGTATAGGTTTCAGCCAATCACTCTTGGCTTAAAACATAGAAATGATGAAAACACCCTTGCTAAAGACATCAATAATCTAAGAAGTACCTACACTTTTAAGAAGGTGGCTTGTTTGTGTCGACATCGATACTCGTCAGATACTTCACGACACGTGTTGGACACACGTCCAAAATGTGTCCTATTACTTTTTAAAATGTTTTAGACTTGGACTGCTTCAGACATTTGGAGAACACACTTGTTTATTGCTTAGACATACATGAAACATATTACAAGTTTGAACAAAATAACTTAAACCAATGATAAAAGAAAAAAACAATGTAGATTTATACTTATTAATCTCTCATCCTTGAAATTTTAGAACTTTGTATTATGTTGTATTATTTTATTATCTTTGAATGAAATATTCATATATATGACACTTAATAAATATATAAACAATGTATCTTGCTTGTGTCCCCATGTGTTGTTTGCATTTCTTGAAAATTGTCCTGTCAGCTTGTCCATGTATGTGTTGTGCTTCTTGGTCCATAATTCTTATCCTATATACATAGTTACATGGTTTGCATCAACACCACTTAGAAAATATGAAGAAGAAGAACTCCGAAAATATGAGGAAGAAGGAATATATTTCTGTTATATTCAAAACTTCTTATCTTACAAGACCAAATGACACTCCTTATATAGGAGATATTATAAACATCATCATAACCCATTATATGCCACTTACATATTATATATTACCACTATCTATCACTATCATATTATATACATGCCACTATCTACCACCAACACCACTATCATATTCTATGCATGCCACTATCTACAACCAACACCACTATTATATTCTATACATACCACTATCTACCACCAACACCACTATCATATTCTATACATGCCACTATCTACCACCAACACCACTATCATATTATATGCATGAACACAATTTCCAGCAACACCCTATCCTACCTGAAAAGTATTAATTGAAGCCAAGTTGATACAATTTTTGGTTTGATTGTTTGTCATTTCAAAGCCTTTGTTCTAATGTGGAACAATTAGAACGATCCACACTTGTTTCATGCTGGATGTTTGACTCAGCATGAATTGGAGCTAGCTTGCTGTATTTTTGTGGTTTTCTACATCGATTCTTAGATGGTTGTTCAATTATCCAAGTCGGCTAAAAAAGCATTCTGGATTATGTTTGTCCATGAGAACAAAGATCTTGCAGTCACAAGCAATTAATGTTTACAAATAATACTTTTAATATCTATTCTGATAGACTCCATCTTTTTATAAGGAACCAAATGTTGTAATTCTGCTTACAGTTTTCAGTTAATAGTTGGAAAGTAACTTATTCAATTAATTCAATCACAGGATTTGATTGACAAGGCCAGGACGACTCTAGTTGGGAATAGATCATCACTACAGCGGTTGCGAGAGAACTAGCATTCCTGTCACTAGTGATTCTGATGATCCTGCATACACTAACTTCAAACAGGTGATATTTTTTATGCCTCGTTATATGTCAGCAGACTTCATTAACATGATAGTTAAGAGGGCCTTCCTACTGGTTAATGACCCAAGAAAGCCTTAAAATTTTTGTTACACAAAGAAAGCAATGCTAAAGTAATCAAGAAGAAAGCAGAACACATGGCAATACAAATAAAACGTGTCCGGTCCATTGGTCCATGTCCAAAGGTTTTTGTTTTGTTCTCCTTTTTATTTATTTATTATTATTATTTTTCACTCCCCAAGTGCAAAAACTTTTTCTTTTGTCCTTTTTGGTATTTTTCATTATTGATATAAAAGTTGAGCCTTGTATCATTTATTCTTAACCAATAACATATTCATTTGTGAGTTTGTTATATTTAATATTCAATTTTTATTGTTCAGTTATTTTCCAAAACGATAAAAGAAAAGAATTATGGAGTCTTGCACCTTCTCAACCCAATATGTAGTTCTTAATATCAAAATAGCATGTCTTTCTAATTTTTATTGTGCTACTGTGAAAGGTTGTGTGTTTTCCAAGTGGTGTTTTAAGAATTTGCACCATTTGCCAGAAAGCAACCAAAATTAAACCATGTGAGGTTTTTCACACTTGTGATTAACAATGCAGAAGTGTTCTGTCTCTGGAGCTTTGTGTTTTGCTCACCAAGTCTCTAGAGCCAAGGCTCACTACATATTCTTGTCTTTATTTGTAATCTGCACATAAACTGTTTGGAAGAAAAGTTGACTGTGTTTATTATTTTTGACTTTGATATGCAGATTATAGACGAGTGGACCACTCAAGTGAGTCTAAGAGCAGGTAAGGAATCCAATACATTGTTTCTAGAATTTCATAGTTATTATTCATGGTGGAGGTGTTTGACAATGCATGGTGGCTTAAAATTTCATGTTTCCTCATTTATGTGAAGAGGGATTGAATAGGGGGGGGGGGGGGGGGGGGGGGAAGGATCAAAATTCCATTTCAGTATATTGTTTCAGTTAGTTTGGATACGGAAACTGTTCTGCAAGAACATGGTTTCAATCACACAATAAACAATAACAAAAGGAACAAGCGCCCACACACACAAGACATACGTGGTTCGGCCAGATGGCTACGTCCACGGAAAAACAATCAAAATCCGCTATACGCAATAAGGATTACAAAACACTCCGCAGCTCTCTCTGTTTCTATTACATTCACAAAACCCTACCGGAAATGAACTCATATTTCTTGTGTGATGGATAACCCAAAAGTATCCAACTCATGCACTATCAATTCAAGGCATAAGCAAAATATAATAGCCATAACTGTAAAAGTGTAGCACAACCATATTCAACATATGAAGTCTATGATAAACATCAATCTCATTAATCAAGCATAAGTGAAAAGAAATGGCTAAAGAGTTAACTATCCCCTCCCCCTCCCCCAAACTAAATATGATAGTGTGCCCTCACTGGCAAAATGGAAGAAGAGCAACATGTTAAATAGCAAGAAAGGGAGAAGATAGCACCAAAGCAGTCAGAGATATGGTAAGGGAAGGGGAAGAAGCACCCCCCAAAGACGAAGCAAGATGACTTGCGATAGAAGACTTGATATGCTAAGAGATAAGGGATATGACACAAAAAAGTAAGGGAATAGGAAACATAAAAATAAATAGATACAGACCAAATATAAAAATAAACATAAAACAAAAAGACAAGCAAACCCTAAAACAAACAAAAAGAAAAGAAAAATGACAAAATAGGTAGAAGAATAATAACACTGAGCCTAAGGAGAGAAAAGAACAATGCAGTGAATATGGGAGAATCATGGAGGCGGAGGCGGAGGCGGAGGCGGGGGCGGGGGTTAGTACCACTAAAAGAGAGAACCCATATGAGACTGGGTCTCAAAGGTGTTTTGGCGGATCTATGCATGCATATCATCGAAGGACTGCTGATAAAAAAAAAAAATGTTGACAAAAGAAAAAAAGGACTGGCTTATATATGCCTACGAAGCATCGTATTACTGTTGGGAGAGGTCCCAATAAGCATAGAAATCAGCTTGTCAAGTGTCAACAGATTGTTGGAGGCGAGTATGCTCATGATGCAAGGCCTCATAGTCGGCACGAGTCATATAGACTGGTGTAAGTGGGTTAGCAGGGGCCAGGGTAATAGCACCAGGGGCATCATCGGTGATGGGGACATCGTGGCCCATACCCTCGGCGTCATCATAGGTAGCTGGAGGCTGCATCTGAAGAGGGGGCATCGGAGACAAACTATGAAGCCAATTCTACTAGGTAGTGCAAGACATCCTCAATCGACAACTCTGCATGATCAAACTGGTAGCTCAAATGGTGGCAAATGAGGTGAGTGATCAAGTTGGCGAAGGGGTGAGGCCAAGTTTGAGAAGGATGTTATGCATTTGATCCCAAATGAGCTTTAGGACATCCACCTAGAAGTCAAACTCAAAGTGATTAAGAGCACAAAAAAAGTCATCGTGGTGCTCTTCCTTATGCCCCGAGATGATCACATTCCACCGCAAAATGACATCAATCAACAAAAGGCGGGGTGCTGGCATCACCCACGCGATCCGCAAAATCAATTTGAATGAGGTTGGTCATTGGGAGTTTGTCATCATAATCCTGAAATGGATATGTTGATGTGTGTACAGCTAGGGATTAGTTGTCCTTTTTTAGTTATTTATAGTAGTTGTTAGTTAGATTAGCTATATTAGTTAATTTTAAATCTTTTCCTTTTCTGTATTGCCTTGTATAGCTATATATACCTCCATATTGGAGAAGAATAAAATAATCTGCTCTATTCCCGCATGGTATCAGAGCGTTGATCCTAAAACTTTTCCTCTGTTTTTCCTCCAGCAATTTTTACCCTAACATATTACTCGACTAATTCCGATCTGGTCTGAAAAGTTTGTTGCTGCCGCTGCCACTGTCGCTGGAAACTGCTTTACCGCCACTGCTGTGCAATCTTTCTGCCGATTACTGCTATTCTTCCCATTCACTCTCAACATGGGTGACTAAAAATCTGTTGCTACCCCTTCTCCGGTTATCATGACTGTGCAACAGGACAACTTGTCTCTATAAATCACCTCAGACAAATTGGATGGCTCAAATTACTCCACGTGGTCTCAGAGTGTGGAGATGTATATCACAGGAACAGGAAAAGTGCAATATTTAGTTGGAAAAAAACCTAAACCCGATGAAACAGATGTTGCTTACTCTACTTGATTGGAGGATAATGCCATGGTTAAATCTTGGCTTCTTAATTCAATGACCTTTAACGTTAGGGCTGTGTTTCTTAGTCTCCCTACTGCTCATGATGTTTGGGATGCGGTTTCCCAAACCCATTTTGTTGGCAAGGATGGCTTCACAGATGTATGAACTCCATTGTCGGCGCTCATGAGACATGCTAGAATGGTAAGTCTGTGGTTGATTACTATGGTGCTCTTCAACATATTTGGTAGGAATTGGACTACCTTCATCTGAGTGCAATGAAGTGTGCCATAGATGCTACCACTCAGAAAAAGGAGATTGAAGAGGATCGTTTATATGATTTTTTGGCTGGTCTTGATCCTAGTTTGGACCAGGTTCGGAGTCAAGTCTTGGCTCAAGATCCTCTTCCCAGTGTCTGTAATGCTTTCGCTTTTGTACACCGTGAAGAGCTTCGTTAAACTACTATGATGGTTGGAAAATTTCATAATGGATCTGCTATGTTGGCTGGTGCTTCTCGGTCTCTGCTGATGTGTTCAGATATGACTTCTGGTATTTCTCAATCACCATCAGTATTTTCTGGGTCAAAAAATTCTGGCAACAGGAAGTGCACCTACTGTAACGGTACCAATCATGTGCGAGAAACACGTTTTAAATTGAATGGATATTCAGAGTGGTTTGTTCAGAAGAAGGGAACTAAAAACAAAGGGAGCAATCTAGGACCTTAGGCTTATCATACCTCTATAGACTCTTAAGCTTCTGTCCCTTCTCTAGTAGATCAATCTACTCAACAGCTTTCGCTGGCTAATAATACTTCTACTTTCTCAGCCAACACAGGTAATTTTGGATTCACTTTGAGTACCACTCTTGTTCCTTCTGTTAACCCTTGGATCATAGATTCAGGAGTTTTAGATCATATGACCAATGACTCTTAACTGTTTGCTTCCTATACCACTTCTCCTAGAAATACTATTAAGGTTGCTAACGGTCTTTCTACCCCAGTTCTTGGGGCTGGTTCTATTCCTTTATCATCTTCTCTATCTCTTTCATCAGTACTACATGTTCCTAGCCTCTCTAATAATTTATTGTCTATTAGCCAGATTACTAAGCATCTTAATTGTTGTGTAACCTTCTTTTCCACTTATCGTCTTTTTCAGGATATTCTTACGAAGAAGACGATTGTTCTTGGTAGAGAAAGTGGGGGTCTATATTAGTTGGACTTGAAAGAATCACCTGTTTTAGAGGCGGGCCATGTGTATCAAGTGGGGACCGAAGCGTCTAAGGCTTAAGAGAAGATTGGTTATGGCCTAGGAGATTAGGACATCTGTCGTTTCAGTATTTGCAACATCTATTTCCGTCTTTGTTTTCTAAAGTCAATGTTTCTAGTTTTCAGTGTGAATCTTGCATTTATGCAAAACATCATCGTGGTTCTTTTCCTTTAAGTTTCAATAAAAGTGATGTCCCTTTCTCCTTAATTCATATTGATGTCTGGGGACCATTTCGAATTCCTACGTATATTGGTGATCAGTGGTTTGTTTGGTTTGTTGATGATTGCACACGTGTATCTTGGGGATATTTGATGAAAGCTAAGAGTGATGTCTTTCCTATTTTTCAAACTTTTCATCAAATGCTTCGTACCTAGTTTAATGCTCTAAGTGCAGGTTGTTAGGTCTGATAACGGGAGGGAGTATCGACATCATAATGCCTATTTTATCCAGCATGGCATAATTCACCAAACATCCTGTACATCTACCCCTCAACAGAATGGTATAGCCGAGCGTAAAAATTGTCACATCCTGGAAGTGGCTCGATCTTATGCTTTGCTATGCATGTCCCAAAACGGTTTTGGGGTGATGTCCTTACAACTGCATTTCTTATAAATCGTATGCCATCGTGTGTCCTCCAGTTCAAAACGCCTCTCTATACTTTATCTCAGTATCATTCTCTTCCTTCTCTTCTCAATATCCCACCAAAAGTTTTTGGGTGCGTTTGTTATATTCATGTTCATCACCATCAATGTGGTAAGATGGATCCTCGTGCCCTTAAGTGTTTTTTTGTGGGTTATTCTCCTCCTCAGAAAGGGTACAGGTGTTATCATCCCTCTTCTGGAAAAGTGTATGTCTCTATGGATGTTACCTTCCTTGACCAAGACACTTATTTTTCAGTGGGCACTTCTAACACTTCTCTTCAAGGGGAGATTGGAAGTAAGGAAGAAGAGAAGTTGTCTTGGGATGGAATGACAATACCAATTGTGTCATGATTGGAGATCACACAACCAATCACTAAATTGCCTGAAGAAACGGAATTAAGAGTGTATGCAAGAAGGAAGAAAAATTAGGAAAGTTAGGATCAAGAAGATATCCAAGTCAGTCAGATAGATCCTACTCTTGAACAACCAGACCAATCGGCTACTTCTCTTAAGAATATCTATGAGAATCCTCGTGACTTTGAGGTAATTCTTGAACTTTCTTCCCCGGTTGATACTCGAATAGAATCCATTGTTTCTATAGATTCTATTGATCCAGTTGATGATTTAGAGTTACCTATTGCTTTGAGGAGACAATCCCGTACTTGTCAATAAGTATAAATATCCTATTTTGAACTACATATCATT